TTTTTTTCTTCTCCTTTTGCAGGCATATGAAAAAGGGTTGATGATAGCTGTCATTCCATTCACTTCAAAGGTTGGTGGTGGTTGATCAGTGTTCTCAACTGTTGTGGGGTTGATGTCTTGAGTTCTAATTTGTGGATACTGCAGGTTCTGGAGCCATGCCAAAACAGTATTGCGTATCAACCTCCCAATCCTTGGACGATGGCTATACTCGGGTTGCTTGCTGAGATCTATTCAATGCCAAACCTAAAAATGAATCTGAAGTTTGACATAGAGGTTAGTCTTACATCTGTGATAATTACTTGCAGATTTCTTTACGTGCATTCGTTCTTCTACTTTGAATCTCTTATACATTTGCAGATGTTCCTAAAAGGTTGTTGTTCCATGAGTTAACTGGATGTTCTTCAATTGCAGTGCTTTTATGATAGGAGATGGCAAGCTCTTGACAAGGCCTAAAAAAGATTACACATCTACCTTTTGAACTTATATTTTTAAACTTTGACAACTTTTGGTACAATGGTTTGTAGTTTTTGTACTTTTGGTACTTTGATTATAGTGTAYTGTGATTTTGGTACCTAGATTATTATGTTGTATTTAGCTTTTAATTTCAGGTTTTTGGTTATTCATTCGATTTGGCCAAATCAAAACAAAACAAACAAACAATAGTGTGACTGAAAAGAGACTAAAAACAATGACAAATAAAACCAAAGCGTTGCAAATTAGTGGCAATTTAGTGACTACTATGTTACTACAGAAGATTCAAGTTGTCACTAAATAGTCGCTTATTTACGACTACAAAAGAAGACACTAAGTAGTCACAAAATAACGACAACAAATGCGAGGCAAATTAATCACAAATTGACAACGAATACAGTTGGTCACAAATCTGTCGCTTATTTGCCACTCCATGAGGAAGTCACAAATTAGTCACTAATTAGCGACTAAAAAAAAAGTCACAATGTAGTCGCAAATTTGCGACTATTTTGCGACGCCTAAAATTAGCAACGCAAGTTTAGCGACGCCGTTTTTTCGTCACAAAGTGGTCGCAAATGGGTCATTTGTGACTATTTTGTGACTCTTTTGGGTGTCACAAAATATCTGTTTTCTTGTAGTGTCATATGGTTGAGAGTGTTGAATAGGTGGTTTGACCATTAGAGAGCGAACCAAAATATGCTCATTC